TTTGAAATTGACGCCAGCCTTAATATTTGCATCTGAGAAGTGCTTGCGGTTGTGGGACATTTGCCGAACACACACTAGGTGCTGTCAATCACAACATACTGGGCCATCTAATCAATCACAGCACATTTCGCATGTCGGAAAGAGAGGCTTCATCGAAAACAACGCATTCAAACTAGGGATAGAGGTGCTGTAATAATGTAAAATATGTGAAAAATAATGCGTTTTTGAACAATCAAGCATGAAAACATTCTAGTACACCCCAAAAATAAAATCAAGACGTCGTAAAAGGGCATAATAGGAACCCTTTAAACCTGGAAAGAAACAGCAAGGATTTTGAAGAATGAAAAATGGATGATGTACAACGAAGAAATATCTCAGATTTGCCACTATTTCTTGGTCCAAATAAGCAAATTTGTGGCATGAAGCATTTAAACTGTACAAAAGGTCTGATTTTCTTGCTTTCTTTGATCCAAAGACCAGATGCTCTTTGGATCATTCTCAAATCATGCTGGAGATCATGATCATCAGGTTTTGCTCATGCAAATTCCAAATACTTTTATTGTAAGATCTTTTTGTGAGCCAAGATTTTTATTACAAAAATATGGCTTAAGATATTAATGATGAGAGATATTTAAAGCCTTGCAATCAAATAAATTGTGGACAATACATTGAAAGATGTACAATATTTCAATGACAATATGACTATATTCAGTATTACTATCTGACGTTCAATGTACAGTGAAAAAATATCAAATATTATAATGCATTGGGGGGTTTTTTCCGACAGACTAAAAAGTATAGATTTATATCTCATCATATCATATCAGTTATCTGTCATAATAGTTCTAATTATTTGCCATTGATATTGGCAAAAATGTCTATTTGTGCATGCATCCTCGTTAGATTCAGTTATTGGACAGTATCCTATTGTTGATGGATATTATTACACACAGTAAAGTTTAATCTGATATTTTATTCTGATATAGTACAATTTGTCACAGTGTAACTTTCATACATAGGATATTAAGACACCTATTCTGATGGTTTAAAAAGTTTTATACTGAAATACTGTTTTTATTTCGTAAGAAATCACGTTTTTAGAGTCAGCAAGATATTGCCTTTGCGTCCTATTTTACTTGCATAATGTGACATATATCAGAGTGAAACATGATATTTCATGCAATGTTGAGTGTGACTACATATTAGGAATTGATTAGATGATGAAAAGTGGTCTCTAAATGAGAGGGATTTGCTAAAGAAATGAAAAATAAAGTTGTTGCAAAGCTGGAACAACTTATCATTTTGATGGAAAATTATTTCGGAATAATATGTATTGAGGATTTTTTTCAGTTGGTATTTTATAACAGGTTGGGTATTATTTTTTGCAACTGTTTATAGGCAGCATATGTGGGATAATGTTTAGGTTTTCAAATATATATATTATTTTATATAAAGGCTTTTTTTTGACCGATGTCTCTTTTTTTACAATGACTTGACTAGAAACACATGCCCCATTTTCTCAGACCTATTTAATTCTAATTAATTTGCTCCTTTTTTAAACTCTAGACCCAATTAATGGCATGCTGGGTCACACAAAAGCTGTGTCACAGGGGGTAGACTCCACATGGAGACAGACAGAGAGAGGGAGGTTTGATATGTTACAATTTATGATGTATGCCAAGACCTAATGAACACATATCTCTTCGCTTAAAGTGCCCATATTTAGCTTTTTCGAATATTACCTTTCATGCAGTGTGTAATATAACTGTTTGTGATGACAAATAAAGTTATTGTCTCCTAAAAGAAAGAAGCAATTCTGAACTGCCTGAAATAAGTCGTCAGTAATTCCAGTCTCACTTCCTGTTATAAATTTGTTTGAAACACATTTGCATAATGCCAGCCAGTTGTCTTCATTGGCTGCCTGTGAATGTCTACTTTTACCCTTAAATACTGTAGTAGCTGAAACTGAAAGAGTTTGGTTCGTGTTGTCGACATGTCGAGAAGACACTGTTTTCTGCGCTATGAAAGCAAAACCACTTTGGTGCACTTACAAACGATGAGGGCAAGTCCTCGAATTGATACGGTAAAACTGACACCATCATTATGGTTCATGTAACTGTGATAAATCTAAATAACTATGACCCGGAGCTGAAATTCAGATAAGGTAAGAGGCGTTTGGTTTGCGACAAGCACTGTGACCTGACCAATTAGAGTAGACCAATCACAACAGACTGAGCCATCTGACCAATTAGAGTAGACCAATCACAACAGACTGGGCCATCTGACCAATTAGAGACCAATCACAACAGACTGAGCCATCTGACCAATTAGAGTAGACCAATCACAACAGACTGGGTCATCTGACCAATAAGAGCACAGTAGACCAATCGCAACAGACTGAGCCATCTGACCAATTAGAGTAGACCAATCACAACAGACTGGGCCATCTGACCAATTAGAGACCAATCACAACAGACTGAGCCATCTGACCAATAAGAGCACAGTAGACCAATCGCAACAGACTGAGCCATCTGACCAATTAGAGTAGACCAATCACAACAGACTGAGCCATCTGACCAATTAGAGTAGACCAATCCCAACAGGGTCATCTGACCAATCAGAGCTGAGTAGACCAATCACAACAGACTGGGCCATCTGACCAATCAGAGCTGAGTAGACCAATCACAACAGACTGGGCCATCTGACCAATTAGAGTAGACCAATCACAACAGACTGGGCCATCTGACCAATTAGAGTAGACCAATCACAACAGACTGGGCCATCTGACCAATTAGAGTAGACCAATCACAACAGACTGAGCCATCTGACCAATTAGAGTAGACCAATCACAACAGACTGAGCCATCTGACCAATTAGAGTAGACCAATCACAACAGACTGAGCCATCTGACCAATTAGAGTAGACCAATCACAACAGACTGAGCCATCTGACCAATTAGAGTAGACCAATCACAACAGACTGAGCCATCTGACCAATTAGAGTAGACCAATCACAACAGACTGAGCCATCTGACCAATTAGAGTAGACCAATCACAACAGACTGAGCCATCTGACCAATTAGAGTAGACCAATCACAACAGACTGGGTCATCTGACCAATCAGAGCAGAGTAGACCAATCACAACAGAATGAACCATCTGACCAATCAGAGCAGAGTAGACCAATCACATCAGACTGGGCCATCTGACCAATCAGAGCAGAGTAGACCAATCACAACAGACTGGGTCATCTGACCAATCAGAGCAGAGAAGACCAATCACAACAGACTGGGCCATCTGACCAATCAGAGCAGAGTAGACCAATCACAACAGACTGGGTCATCTGACCAATCAGAGCAGAGTAGACCAATCACAACAGACTGGGTCATCTGACCAATCAGAGCAGAGAAGACCAATCAGAGCAGACTGGGTCAACTGACCAATCAGAGCAGAGTAGACCATTCACAACAGACTGGGTCATCTGACCAATAAGAGTAGAGTAGACCAATCACAACAGACTGGGTCATCTGACCAATCAGAGCTTAGTAGACCAATCACAACAGACTGGGTCATCTGACCAATCAGAGCAGAGTAGACCAATCACAACAGACTGGGTCATCTGACCAACCAGAGCAGAGTAGACCAATCACAACAGACTGGGTCTTCTGACCAATCAGAGCAGAGTAGACCAATCACAACAGACTGGATCATCTGACCAATCAGAGCAGAGTAGACCAATCACAACAGACTGGGTCATCTGACCAATCAGAGCAGAGTAGACCAATCACAACAGACTGGGTCATCTGACCAATCAGAGCAGAGTAGACCAATCACATCAGACTGGGCCATCTGACCAATCAGAGCAGAGTAGACCAATCACAACAGACTGGATCATCTGACCAATCAGAGCAGAGTAGACCAATCACAACAGACTGGATCATCTGACCAATCAGAGCAGAGTAGGCTCTCGGAAATGAGGGGTTTAAAGAGAATGAGTCCTTGATCAAGCTGTTTCAGACTGTGAGAAAAGAGCTGATGCTGAAATGTATATTATGAAAAAATGTAAGTAGTTTTCGTCCTTGGATGCATGTAAACCAATTGTAGGAGAACTCTAAAACAACATTAGGAACCTTTAGTATAGCATAATAGGGGCACTTTAAAGTCAAAATGTAATCAAAAATGAATTTTAATTTCTTAATACACATTCCAGAGAAAGTTGTTTCAGAGAAAATCATAAAGCTTGCTCTGCTTCTGAAACTCGCCCACGACATTTGGGCTATTAGTTCATATCTTTCCATCTTTTTTTACCATTCAGATACCATTCATGCATCAGAACCAAAATACCAGTAAACTCTCTGTTGTCACTCATCAGAAATTCCTTTTAAACGCTATGTCGCTTTCTTCGTTCACCCAGTTAAGAAGCGCTTTAGTTTCACTGTCTGTCTGATTTGACAACATGTTTTGATTTCCGAGTGACAGGCGTAAGGGGATGATTACTGGAATGCGTTTTGCTTTTAAAAACACGAGACGCCGCACAATATATCCAGATAGAGCTGCAGTGCTGATGAATGGAATAGAGACCTTTTTGAAAAATCTGATGCTCATGCACGTGATGCTGAAAAATATAGCTAGCTATTAGTCTCAAAATTACTCAATAGATGAATTGCATTTACATCCTAAACACTGTATTTGTCGGCATTTAAAATCAGGCAATTTAAAAGTCATCTCCATCAGGACTTTATGATTGGCTCGAAGCTCAAATAATTGGCTTGTACATGCTCATACTGGAAATCATATACTTTGTGGTGTAACTCTCCGGAGAGGGTTACATATTTCAAGTCCATCGTCTACTGCTTCAAAACAGAACAAATTGCTACCATATGGAGAATGTCTTTTTTTATTATAGTTTGTTCTGCTGACCAGTATTCTAACTTTTGCTTGGTGACTTGCATTTATTTGCATGTCCTCACAACTAATCTTGACTGGTTTCATATTTTTGTAGGTATCAACAAAGGAAGTTGTTACCGAATCAATCATTTCCCAGATGATAATGATTATGACACAGACAGCTCTGAGTATCTCTTGCGTGAGTGACATTCTCTTCAGGAATATGAGTGTTGCTGTCTATATCTCAATGTTGAAATTCTTATCATGCACTTTTTGATATCTTTCTCAAGTAAAAGCTGTGTTTATGTGTGCGCGTGAACAGGTATTGTGCGCGCCTCCAGTGTGTTCCCCATCCTCAGTACCATTCTGCTGTTGCTGGGAGGGCTGTGTGTCGGGGTGGGACGCATCTACATCAAGTGGAACAACATATTACTCTGCGCAGGGATACTGTTTGTGGCAGCAGGTAAACCTTGCTAATGACCACCTGCTAACATGCACACAGGGGCTTTTCAATTGACTTTAGACATTTTTAGCACCATTACTAAATACATTTTGTTCACTGAATATGATTGTAATATAATATAGGCCAATATCCATGCTCTGATATTCCACCTTATCCCTGCTGTTACTGGCAGGTTCACTGGAAATGAGGTGGGCAACAACTCCTCCACTTTTTTTTACCTGTTACTTAACTGAATTTAGTGGGCTGATATAGCTTATACTAAAAGTGCCTTCCTTGTATAGTTTCATAACCCGATACATGTAAAGATGATGAAAAGACTATTTATCTAAACAGTAAAAGATTGTGTTAAATACTTAAGTAAAAGCAATGCTAGGCTAGATAGGGTTAACTTGCAGCATAGTGTGTCTTGCATTAGCAACTGATACTAATTACCACAATATATCAGCGTGTCTGCCATATTGGAAAGGTCAAGATCCACATGTAAACCAAGGAGGTTTATAATGCCTGGAGAAAGCTATCTGTTAGCATTCCCATTCATCTCAGCTTTTTTTAGCCTGAGGTTGAAGTTACAACATCTACCAACAGGGGCTAATTGGACCATACTAAGGTAACGGAGAATAGCTAAGAAGTGCTGTGGAGGTAAACCTCACTCCCCTGGCCTCAAGAGGCGCACTAGAGGCTGCAGTCTTTACCACCTTTGTTAGCATACCCACCACCCACCACTAATGGCTGATGCTGGTTTAAATCTCACTCAGAGTGATGCAAGTAGGACCAGTTACATTGGTGCTGTGACCTGGATGGGAGAGATGTTTAGGGGGGTGAGTGTAAAGGAGGCCAGATAGTAAGAGCTGTGCAGGTAAACCTCACTCCCCTGGTCTCAAGAGGCACACTAGATGCTGCAGTCTTTACCGTTTTTGTTAGCATTCCCACCACCCACCACTATGGCTGATGTTGGTTTAAATCCCACTCAGAGTGATGCAAGTAGGACCAGTTACATTGGTGCTGTGACCTGGACGGGAGTGATGTTTAGGGGGTGAGTGTAAAGGAGGCCAGATAGTAAGAGCTGTGCAGGTAATCCTCACTCCCCCTCAAGAGGCGCACCAGATGCTGCAGTCTTTACCGTCTTTGTTAGCATTCCCACCACCCACCACTAGGGATGGGACGATACACTTAAACTCACGATACGATGCACCTCGATATGCCAGGGTCACGATACGATACGTCACGATACGATATCAAAAAAGGAAAAAAAAGAAAAAATTATTACTGTATAACAACAACTTATTCATTTGCTTTGGCCGCCAAAGCAAATGTGTGTCCCACCAAAGCCTTTTTTGATCGGCGAGTGATGTAGAATGAATTGACTGCAGCGCTTGACAGGGCGCATAACGAGCAGAGAGAGAGAGAGAGCGAGCGCCCCGGCCGCGCGCGCGCACTCTCACGTCTTCAAACAAAACGAGCCCTGTCTTGCTCTCTCTCCCTCGCGCATATTAATCAAAATCAATTGACACGACAGTAAAAGGTCGGAAGACTGCAGTTTCACGTGGAGCATTTGGAGATTTTTAGAGATTAGAGACTCTAGGCTTACTTAGACTCAATGAACATCTCAACACTAAATTATAAAGGCCGGTCTCATAAAGACGCCTGTCTCAAATACAGGCCGGTGCAGTTCGACGATTTGGGAAAATAAAAGCCCGGGCTATTATTTGAAGTTTTACGGTATATACATTTGACTCCTTGGTCGGCTGTTTGGGGGCAAGGCAGTTGGTACTGATGCTAATATTTGTTAGCTCGCTGTAGACTGCAGTGTTGTTGTTGCAACATGCGCTGTCTTGACGTGATGACGTACCGCACCGTTCCCCGGATATAATTTTTTTTTTCATTTAGTTTTACCCTGCTTGATCAGCAGATGGTGCTGCCAGCCTGCCACCATAGACTGTATGTCTGCCCCATATACATACACACACACATATAATACACTTAATTATTTATATACTACGCAAATCATGCAGCAGTGCCATCTATCTTTATTTCGCGATCCATTTTTTTTCCACCTCGATGCGTTTCGTCACGTTTTGTATCGCGATATTTTGTCAAACGATATTTCGTCCCATCCCTACCCACCACTATGGCTGATGTTGGTTTAAATCCCACTCAGAGTAATGCAAGTAGGACCAGTTACATTGGTGCCGTGAACTGGATGGGAGTGATGTTTAGGGGGGTGAGTGTAATGAGGCCAGATAGTAAGAGCTGTGGAGGTAAACCTCACTCCCCCTCAAGAGGCGCACTAGAGGCTGCAGTCTTTACCACCTTTGTTAGCATACCCACCACCCACCACTATGGCTCATGCTGGTTTAAATCCCACTCAGAGTGATGCAAGTAGGACCAGTTACATTGGTGCTGTGACCTGGATGGGAGAGATGTTTAGGGGGGTGAGTGTAATGAGGCCAGATAGTAAGAGCTGTGCAGGTAAACCTCACTCCCCTGGTCTCAAGAGGCACACTAGATGCTGCAGTCTTTACCGTCTTTGTTAGCATTCCCACCACCCACCACTATGGCTGATGTTGGTTTAAATCCCACTCAGAGTGATGCAAGTAGGACCAGTTACATTGGTGCTGTGACCTGGATGGGAGTGATGTTTAGGGGGTGAGTGTAAAGGAGGCCAGATAGTAAGAGCTGTGCAGGTAAACCTCACTCCCCCTCAAGAGGCGCACTAGATGCTGCAGTTTTTACCGTCTTTGTTAGCATTCCCACCACCCACCACTATGGCTGATGTTGGTTTAAATCCCACTCAGAGTGATGCAAGTAGGACCAGTTACATTGGTGCCATGAACTGGATGGGAGTGATGTTTAGGGGGGTGAGTGTAATGAGGCCAGATAGTAAGAGCTGTGCAGGTAAACCTCACTCCCCTGGTCTCAAGAGGCGCACTAGATGCTGCAGTCTTTACCGTCTTTGTTAGCGTGCCCACCACTATGGCTGATGCTGGTTCACATCCTGCTCAGAGTGATGCAAGTAGGATCAGTTACATTGGTGCTGTGACCTGGACGATGTTTAGGGGGTGAGTGTAAAGGAGGCCAGATAGTAAGAGCTGTGCAGGTAAACCTCACTCCCCTGGTCTCAAGAGGTGCACTAGATGATGCGGTCTTTACCGTCTTTGTTAGCATTCCCACCACCCACCACTATGGCTGATGTTGGTTTAAATTCCACTCAGAGTGATGCAAGTAGGACCAGTTACATTGGTGCTGTGACCTGGATGGGAGTGATGTTTCTGGATGGGAGTGATGCTCAGTAAGAGCTGTACAGGTAAACCTCACTTCGCTGGCCCAAAGGGGTGCACTAGCAACTGATTCTTGAGGCTGCAGTGTTTAGTATCCTTGTTGGTTGATGCTGGTTTGTATCACACTCTGAGCGGTTCTTAGCTATCCTCCGTTACACCATGGGTAGCCAACCCTTCCTCCAGAGAGCTTCCTTCCTGCTGAGTTTAGCGCCAACGCTAATCATACACACCTGAACCAGCTTATCATGGTGTTCAGGATTACTTAACAGTAAGGTGTACTGGAGCAGGGCTGGCTATCCCCGAGTTACCCAGCCAAACCTTGACCCCTTGACATAAACACATGCAGTTGATTAGATATTTACAGCCTGTAGCAATTGGCATGCCTACATTAGTATTCTCCCCTGTGCAAAGTTTTCCAATTTTGTCTAGAGTCTGTTTCATCAGTTCGTACAACTGTAAGCTGCACAATGTTGTGGCATTTTTGTCAGTGATATTACAATAGTTTGAGTAGTGATTACTTCTGATGAGCTCAACCTGCAGTGTTAACCTTTCAAATATGGTTGTGCTGTTGATGTACCCCAATCAGCCAAATGTAACATATTAAGTTAAATAAAGTCATAAATCTGTTATATTGCTTTTCAAGGCATTATGCTTATGCTTATGCCTGGCTCTGTTTTGTGTCTGGCAGGTTTGAGCAACATCATCGGTATAATTGTCTACATCTCCAGCAACGCCGGTGACCCCAGTGACAATCGTGACGAAGACAAAAAGAGCCTCTATTACTACGGTTGGTCGTTCTATTTTGGAGCGCTCTCCTTCATTGTGGCTGAGGCGGTTGCCGTTCTGGCTGTCAGTATCTACATTGAGAAGAGCAAAGAAGTACGGTTCAAAGCACACCGCGAGTTCATCAAGGCTACCTTGTCCTCTTCGCCGTATTCCCGCATACCCAGCTTTCGCTACCGCCGACGGCACTCACACTCCAGTTCTCACTCCACCGAAGCATCCCGTGAGGCGTCACCCGTGGGCATGAAGATGATGAGCTCGGTCCCTGTAGGAGAGATCAACATGTACACATTGACAAGAGATCCCCTTAAGTCAGGAACGGACAGCTCCTACAGCCCTGACCACGATTCTGGATTCCTCCAAGTGCACAACTGCTTTCCCAAAGACCTTAATGATGGTATCAACAGGAGGACAACACCTGTATGAGGACACACACTAGAACGGGAGAGATCAAGTTAAGGCCATACTGAATGGATAGCCAGTGGGGCTCAGTGGTCTGTGGCAGGTGCCAGAGGAAGCGATACTCGTTGATGAAGCCGGTCGACCAATGACGTCGGTCATCGGTGAAGGAGAAGCACTGTGTAAAAGAAGAAAGGATTTGATCTCGACATTCAAAAATCATTGCAAACGCGCTAATTTGTTTTTCTTGTTGTGTTGTTCCTCACATATAAACAAGAACTCTCAGAGAGACCCATCTCTCATCAAAGGGCAAGACAGGCAAATGTAAAATGGATAATCTTTTGACGATAAGGTGCAGTGATTCAGATATTACCTTTGTGTAAGCCAGTCCGTTCCCTTGGTTGAGAGTAAATATCGGTACAGTGCCATATTCTCAATGTTTACCAATATGATAATGACTCTCACTTTATGAGATGGTGCTAAAGTAGACTCACAGTTAAAGCCTTCCCATCATTATGTGTTCAGTACAGACCCAAGTTGAATATTGAGCGCCCTTGTTTGTGTCATATGTTTGTAGCCACAGTTGTCTAGCTCTATTCAGTGTGCCTATCATCTTGGCAGTGTCAACTGCTCAACTAATCTGGAGCCACTTTGAAATTTTTGTATATTTTTGTTATTTTTATTTGATTTTTTTTTTGCTGTTCAACTAGAAATATCAGTTGAATTACTAAATAATCACTAGAATTACTAAATATTCATTGGAATTTAGTTTAGGAGATTTATGACTACTAATTGTGTATAACCCCCTTCTGAAAAGACCAGCTTGGATTTTCATAATGTTCTGACTGGTTTGTGCTGGTCTGGTGCTTTCCTATCTAGTGGAAAAAATTAGGCCCCGTTTACACCTGGTATTAAGATGCGTTTTAGTCGATCGGATCACAAGTAGACGAGGGAGATGCATTCCCGTTTACACCTGGTGTTTTAATCCGTCTCTTTTGTCCACTTTCAACCACTTCTTGTTTCCCAATTTCTTCAAGGGGAGGGTAAATTTATGGGCTTTTTCAGATCTTTCGATCTAATGGACGAAATAAGCTCACGCAATTTACACATGAACACGCCGGGAGACGACGGAAAAACACAAGTGCAACAGCTTTCGTTTCTGATAGCCACGCCGAACGCTGTGAATGCGTGTTAGAAATCAGGAATGATGAGAGAACATTGTGCTTTGTAAGTTTTTCGTCTTCAAACCAAACTTGGGTCTTCAGCCAACAAAGTTTAAATCCCGTCTGGCTAGCGCACTTCCCATAACGTTTAAGTGTTAGGTCAGTAGGCTGTCTTTCGTGGCTGTTTGAACACATTCGACTACATGAGCGACTACATGAACTACGAAAGCAATCTGGTCCAATGCGTTTTCGACTACCTCTGGAAGTGGTCGAAAGGGGACAAGCTCAAAACGTTTTAGACCCCGTTTACACCTGTATTTAGCGCGCTGTCCACTTGTGATCTGATCAACCTAAACGCTAGCCTGACTTCGTCATACTCATATTCTAGTCAGAATGTGAGTCTGATACTGCTTCATAGGGCTTTGATTATGAGGCGTGTCTTAACCGAACCAGGAAAAAAAAAACTCTGCACTCAATTGGATAGACCTACAACCAATGAGAGCAACGCAGTAAGTAAACTACTTTGCATAGCACAGTTGTCAACTACAGAACTCAAATGCACGCACGCTGGAAGAAGTAAAATAATGAGTGTTGCTTCTTTTACTTGGCCCTCTATGAGTGCGACCAAAGGAGAAACCACAACGAGCACAGGGTTTTCATTGCGTCCCATCTTCTTAGTTACCATCGGAGCCAGCTGATAAATTAAACTTTTGCCGAATCCCATAGGAAGGACGGCAAACACATCTTTCCGATCGACAAATGCCTTGATTGCAGTTCTATGTTCGTCTTTTAAAATGAATGCGCTGTCGATTTCTTTTACAACAGACGCGATAGCGGAATCTCTACATCTCAGTTCTCCAGCTGCAGTCATCTGTGAGGGAAACCAGTTCAACCCAGGCGCTCTTTGATAACGTGAGGATTACGTCCCTGCAGATCATCTGTCCATCATCGTATAAAGCCCACCCTGGCAATTTGATTTGCCCGACGATTTCTGAACCGATCATAATTACTCCTCAATGGAGCGAGTCCAGACCGAACTTCCCGATCAAAAAATATTGTGGGCGGGGTTCGGGCTGGCATCCAGGCTACCTAAACGCATCTTAATACCAGGAGTAAACAGGGCCTTAAACATGCTGTTCATCAGCAAAACATGACCAAGGAAGTCTTGCTGGTTAAATTCAGCATTAAAAATGGCATTTGCAACCCATTTTACTTCTGTCATGTACCGTATTTCTGAGTGAAATGTAGAGATGCAGCATGAGTAGAGCTAGACTAGTGGGTGAAACTTACATGACTTTGAAACAGCCAAAAAGAAAAATGGTTTCAGCTGCATTTTTAAAAGATTACAAAGACAATGAAGGATCATAAAGACATTTTTTGAGTCATGCAGAATAATGCACAATAAGACTAGGGATGTGTATTAAGAAAGAAAATAGGTCCGTTTTGATTTCATGTTGTTTTTAAGCTAGTTTAGAAACTGGTTTAGACTCCGGTGTCCCTTGCTCACAGCACCAGCATTCAAAACATATGATGGTGACCAGCTCTGATGGTCTTTTCCACAGGGAAGAACAGCCGTATTCAACAGGCCTCAAGTTTTATACATCACTTTGAATTCTGAATGCCATTGATAGTCAAAAAGTGTAAGTAGTTAACCAGCCAGTGTCGTGGCTTTCCATTGTGAATCTGTCAAAGAGTGATATAATTCCTCAGCCTTCATCTCCATCAAGGGGTTTCACCTCTACTTAAAGCTTGGTCTCTGCCTGGATGTGGGTTAAATACAGCCACTCCTTCTCGTGATGGCTGTGCCGTCTCTGAATGGGGCACCTTTGGGGATCTGACATTGTTTGAGTCCACTGATAAAAGGAGTGCTGAGAAATGTCAGACATATGGAAATAAAGGACAAGTTTTGAGCCGGTCAGCCATGAGAAGCATCTCGGCGACCACTGATAAGTATCTATGGTTGAGCAGTGTGAAAGACATCAGTGTGGCCAATCCAGCCCTTAAGAAGACCATTCGAAGTGTCTTAGCCTCACCAGAGCCTTATGCCTGGATTTCTCTTTGAGTTGACAATATAACCTCATCTCTCTTCTTTGTTACTGCTGGTTTTCCTCTCCAATCTCACGTCCTTAGTGAAGAGTCTAGCGCTTTTTCCTTCTAAGGTCCCAGACGACTGCATTATCCGTGTGAGCGGTCAAATCCATGTTGCTAAGAGTGTTTCCTCGCAAAAGGAGAGGTCGCAAAAAGATGTACATATCTGGTAGGTGTTTCACTAAATTGAAGCATTTACAGCTACCTTTTCTTAGTAAAGCCATTTTGACACAAGCTTTTGAGCCATGGCTCTTTGTAGAATGGTGTGTGTGGTGGGTAGATGTAAATGTTTGCATGTTTTTCTCTAACCCATTGACTTTGTGTGCTTTTAACAGTATTATTAACAGGATGACTACAGGATGCCTCACTGCCAAGCATCGCTCACTATAAATACCTGTAATGTTCTCTCTGTTCATCAAGGAAGGCAATTTGTCCTTCTGGTTTTATTGATTTGCTCATGTTGTTCTCAGTATTTCTCTGTATCAAGGACAAAGCCAACATATCTTTGCTCACATAAATAAATTAAACTGAGGTACGGTGTCTCACTCATGCATATTTGCTTTGTTATGTGACTGTTGTGCTTTGTAACAGGACTAGGAATAATTCTGATCTTACAAATACAACACAGCCCAGCAGCTGTCTATTTGCGCAAAATTAAGAACATATTTCGAAATTTTTTTTTTTTTAGAGAGGCATTAAACGCTTTAAAGTGCATCTAAAGCCTGACATATTTTGAAGGTTAGACAGATCATGTGACTTGAATATGAGCTTCCGCCATGCCTAACCTACATGTGTTAAAAGGAAAGTAAAATGTAATTTCCGCCATTATTTATTTACCTTAACGTCGTTCCAAATTCATTGAGTCACTTGAGAACTGAATCAGTTCAATGAATGAGTCATTCCAATTTTGATTCACTTCACAAAAGATTGATTTGTTCACAAAACAGACATCTTTTTGGAGTTTGACAGCCCCAGTCCTCATTCACTTTCCTTCAAAATCTTCATTTTGAGTTCCACTGGTTTGAATATCAGTCACAGAGGTTTGCAGTGACACGAGGGTAAGTAAATGATTACAGACTTAATATCTTTATGATGTTCTTCCTCTATGAATAAAGCTGAAATACTTGGAGGATGAAACAAAATGAGGAAAGTCATGTTAAATGTAAATACTGGCCAAAATGTCAGCATCATTCTGATACAATCCAGTGACACTAGCTTCCCGTCTCTGAACTGTTTTGACATGTAAATGAAATAAATGAAGGTTTTCTTGCACTTTAGTATAAATAGTGAGTCTGGCCTTCCAGTGACATGTATGAATGGTTTGAATCGATGGTAAGTGAATTGTGCATTCCTCTTTTCTCTCTAGTAAGGGAATATATGCTAAAGACAGGCAGGTTGTTCATTTATTTTCAAATTAAGGACATCCCTTTGTGGAAGATAAATTAAAGAAAACGACCACTTAAATAGAAGGTGAAGAACATCAAGTACTCACACATAACATTGATAATTAGTGAGGTTTTGCTTAGTACCACTATTACAATTGCTTTTAGGATAATGGATGTAAAGAACCCCGTACTAGTCTGGAAAATTCCCTTCCTGCACCATTTGTACTACAAACAAAATAATACAGAATCATATGGCATGTAAAAGAGAGGTGTGCCATTACTTTTCTAAGAGATCATACTTGCTGTTTTTGCTTGGCAATCAATAAATGCCACACTGAAAAAAATGGTAACATCTAAATTAACTGGTTTTATCCAAGTCAAAAATATGATTTAACATCGGAAAATCAACCTAAATACATTTAGCCAACAAATCCATTTTTATGGGTCAAATCAGGGAGAAATAGCTCTTTAAGGTAACAGTTGCAGGTTACTACTTTTTACAGAGCATATCTTTCAAACAGAATATTATTACTAAATTAATGTGGGGCGGTAAGAAAACGCCATAGCAAGCAACACACTAACTGTCACCATTATGTTCAGTTTAACTCAGTTCAAGGACTTTTAGTTTGTATTTCTTCAGTTCATGCCTTCCTTTGATTTCCCATTTTTAGTTACTATAGTCACGTCATTATTAGTTCATTTGTACCAGCTGTGTTCTATTAATTACTTTGTTTAGTTCACTATATAGTTATATCCCTGTCTTCACTCTTAGGATACGTTAACACGACAACGATATGCTTAAAACGGAGAAGTTTTTCCTTTGAGTTTTCCGCGTACAGACGACACCATTGTCAAAACGATCCCCATTCACACGGATCTGAAAACACTGTATTCTGCTGCCAGGCCATTAGATGGCGATGAAACATTATAGACTGAACACGTAATGCACATGTGCATGACGTCATCGTCTTCAGAGTTTCGCATTTTT